CCTCTGGACTCCGTGTGCAAGACTAAGGAGGTTGATGCTTCACCCGATTCTCTCCGTCGAATTTCTTCGCTCAATACCAGATCCCGAACATCGTCGAATTTCAATTTGTTATTTCTCGATGAGCTACTGACTGTTGTAACAGTAGCATTCCAACTGTCTGGTAGAGATGATAAGAGAATTAAAGCTCGAACTTCACCATCGAATTCATTTTCCACGGAACTCAACTGGGTTGTGATTGTGTTGAGTTTATTTAGGTGTTGAGCCACTGATGCCCCTTCCGCCATCTGTAAATTGAATAATCGCCTCATCAAGTGAACATTGTTTGAGGCTGATGACTTCTCATACATATTGGAGAGAGCCGCCATAAGACCCGCCGTGGTCTTTTCCTTTGCTATGTTGAAAACAACATTGCAGGATAACGTCAGTCGGATAACTCCAAGGGCTTGTCTGTCGAGAAGAGCTCAGTCTTCATTCTTCATGCCCTCTGGTTATTTTCTTGAGAGAGGTTGATATAGATTTTTCTGATACAGAAAATCTTCAATTTGCATCTTCCAAAAGCCAAAGTCCGCACCATCGAACTTTTCAATTTTCACATTCCCTTCGTTTGCAGTCATCGCTCCCACTCGAATCTGGCTTCGTTTGGATCGTTTTTGACAATTCTTGCGAACCACCGTGTATTAGAACACCTCTGTCGATAAATTCGTATCGCCGATAAATTTTTTTACTATTCACGAAATTCACTATTCATGTAAATAGTAATGAATAGTAACCTCGCAAAAAATTGACAAAATTCACAACCAAAAGCTCTGATTACCAGTTTTTGGGAAATAAACTCGAGTACAAGTAATTTCCCTATAACCAGATTAGTGAGGATGCGAAATAAAAGCGAAAAAATAATACTCGAAATTGATAACGGAGTTCAGCCAATTATGCATACGTCTCCGGACTGCTGCAGATCTTTTACTAAAGAGAAAATTTACAGGTGTTTACAAAACACTTACTACTCACAAGAAAGCTCTCTAGTATTGGGAGAAAGAAATTATTTGAGATAAATTTCGAAGCTAAATGAGCTAGGGTATTTATAGTTGAAGCTTAAGGACTAATCTTTGAAAATACCCTACAGTGCAATGGCTAAAGTGTAATTAACCCTATTACATTTCAACAATTGCTACCCATTTTTCAGCAAAATTAGGCAGCCCACCATATACAAAATTTAGTCGTCGGCTGCTACTAATTTTCAACAATGCTGGCTCTTGAATATTCAACATTATATTGCTTAAACGCTGACATGTTTAGTGTTATCCTTTTTAGAATTGAATGTTTCTATAGGGCTTGACAATTATAGATATATCGAGCACAATAAGGATAATTGATCACTATATGTTGTTTGTTTTATTTTTGCATTGACATGAACACTCTTTTTCCTCTATGTACGTTAGAGAGGTTTTTTAACGAGGTTCATGTCTATGCTCCTTATAAGATTTAATATTCTTTAATCATATTACTACTTTTAAAAAATGATTAAAAATAAAAGTATTTATTCTAAAGATAACTCTCCATTATTTTAAAAAGAATGTTTAAATACTTTATCACCTTTAAAGATTTTAAAAGTAATTTTGAACTATGATAAAAATTAAACCCTAATTCAAAATTACTTTTAAAATCTTTAAAGATCGTAAAGTATTTGAATATTCATTTTAAAAAATAGACCATAATAAGAAACCCTAATATTCTCCCAGCTACATAAAACCATAGTGTGTCGATAGGACAAAACATATATGAGTATTCCGGCGATTGACCACCAAAAACGGCCCTGAGTATTCACATAGGACCCGTCAAGGAAAGACAGGGCTCACTGGTTCGATTAGACGTGCAGCGATGGGCTAGGAAGTGTCAGGGGAGACTGCAAATGGTGAAAACGTAGCTGCTGTAGCAATGGATACTGTTGGTCGGACGGTGGCTACCAAACAATCCTGCCCTAAAGCTCAACTGGCACAAGATAATGCGAACAATGAAGTGGGTAACTCTAGTCAGTGGTCAAACTAGTTTTTCCTATGTTGCTATTGTCGTTGAAGGAAACAACATAAATAATGGTAAAAGCAGTGTAGTAGGCTTCTCCGAGGATGAAATGGTTATTCTGGAAGAGGACATTATCATGGATAGATCCGGGCCTGTTCCATTAATTTGCTTCTCTGATCCGGTTCATGAACATATTGATAAAAATATGTGTAATATCATCATGATTCGCCTCCTTGGAAGGACAATTGGTTACAACACTATGGCCAAACGCATCTATGCGATTTGGAAGCTAGTTGGGAAAATCCAACTTGTGGATCTTGATAATAACTAATTTCTCGTCCGTTTCATTGATGAAAGGGACTTTACTAAAGTCCTTACTAAAGGACCTTGGATGATTTATGGGAGTTATTTGACGATGCAACCATGGAGTTGGTCATTTAAAATGTCTGAGAAACACCCATCGCATGTTATTGTGTGGATCCAACTTCCTGGTCTCCCATATAACTACTGTACCAAAGCGTTGTTTCGTCATATTGCCTCATTCATTGAAAGAGTGATTAAAATTGACTACAATACTGATGGGGGGAGAGAGGTAAATCTGCAAGACTTGCAGTACTTGTTGATCTAAATAAGCCACTCCTGTCGTGTATCCGTATTGATGGCTCCTTACAAAGGTTGGAATATGAGGGATTACAACAAGTTTGTTTCGAATGTGGTCTCTATGGCCATGCTAAAGAACAATGCAGTCTATCGAAAAATGTGACAAACGTAGCTGCAGGAGATGATAGTTCTCGCACGGACAACAATCCTACGGACAAAATGTAAGTTTCTGTGACCAACCTGTTTGGGCCATAGATGGTTATCGATACGAACACCATAAGGCTCAATATCATAATTAGCACCTAATTGTAGAAGAACTAATTTGAACCAATATCACCAACATGAAGCTCAATATCATAACCAAAGGCCTAGTTCGCCTATGCATAGAGCTCAACATGCTCCTATGACACCCTCTCCGTGGTAAACCCGTCCTGTTCAAGTTCTGTCAGCCAGCCATCGTTGCGTTAGAGGAGATAGGAGCTCGGTTTCATCTCAAACACCAAGCTTAAGGTCTAATTACCATTACACGGGCAGGGCTGATACTCATGCTTGTGGTAGTGGCAACAATGCTGCAATCTTGCCTAATTACATGGTAGCAACTGAGTCTGCAAAGGCTAGAATAAGGTCTGAAAGTGCACCAAGGCAAAGGTCATACACACCAGAGAGGGACCGAAACGGTTCGGCGAGGAAACGGCTATCGTTTCCGGTCCCGGAGCCTTATGGTGTTCGGAGGGGATATGGAGGTTATGGTCACAATTTGAGGAGTTCAAGTTTTAAGAGTGTAACCGGATCACATCTTGGATTGGAACAACAATCTAACTTTTCTTCTTGCTACACCGAGAGCCATGGCGGTGAAATCTCCCCGTCTTCAACTAGCGATCTTAGAAGGTGGTTGAGGTAATCCTTGTCCTAGTTTGCTTTCATCATTTTCATAGAGGTTGGGTGATCAAAGTGTGTTTCATTGTTAATTTTTGTTTCTCTTTTTTCTTTCACCATTTTTAGTTTGAAATTGAAGGTACAAGTGAGGTAAATGTGATGATCATCTTGAATAAAAATTGTACAGATAAAATCAGTTGGAAGTTACTGGTAAAATTCACTTCTTGTTCTTCACTTTTGTTCCCCTCCATCTCTCCTTATCTTTGTCTATTCCAAATAGACCCACAACATTAAATCCAGCTTTTATGTCTACATATTACCATTTCTCATCTCCAAAGCAGCTGCTAGTGCTGTTGATTGGCAAGATACCGTCTCTCCGCACCACGAAAAAGTCGCTTGACAGTCCTAATAATGAAGACGAGGGGGTTGAAACTTGAAAAAGAGCATGTGCTCGATCCGATTTATGCCATTGCACGTTGCCAGACTTTATCAATTCACAGATTCATAAAGATACTGGAATTTTATAATCTTTCTAGTCAAAATGAACCCACTCAATATCTATTAAATGATTCAATGTTTTTTCAATAGTTTAGGTCACTTATTCTTTTTTATTAAGTTAAGGTGATTATAAAATATTATCTATTCTAAATATTTTCAATCATTTGACAATATACTCGAACCAGTGAACTTTTGGGAACAACAACGATTTTTTAACCATTTATTTAGTTAATATTATTATTGTTATAACAACATAAACAACGATTTCTTTTAAGCATTTACTGAATCGATGTTATTATTGTTATAACAACATAAATTTGTAGGTTGAAACATATTTAAATGTCTAATTTTATATCAAAGTTACATAAAGTTTATAACTATGATTTATTAATGAGAGGGAACGGCATTTAATTTGTAAACAAGATACGATATTGCACTAGCTTGCCTTTAAAAACTACTAGTTCTTCGCCAGTTTAAGGGTTTTAGATTGATTTCTCCGCCCAATAAATTAAGACGTTCAGAGAATATGATTCTTTCAAACATAAGCTTTTAGATAAAACCTTTTTTATAGATGTTGGAATAAAATTCAAAGTATGATTAATACATCTATTCAAAGTATGATTAATAAATCTATTCAATATGATTAATAAATCTATCTAATCTGTTAATTTTACTATTAAAGTTATCAATAATTCTCTTATTGATCGTAATTTCATTGCACAAATGAGCAAAATACCCACGTGACAATTATATAAATGTTTCCAAAAGGGATTCGTCGAGTAAAAGCAGAAGCGCGCGCAGCGAAATCTTACCCTTCCCTAGTTACATGGTTAAAAGTGATTGGTGAATCACAGTTTATCACACGCTGCTCATTAGCCTCTGTCGGATGATAAAACTCACAAGGGCCAAGGCCAACCACCGTAGAGCCAAAAACTTTCGAACAAAATTTATAGTTTCATTCGCCATTTCCCCAGAAAAAGAAAACCCATCCATTCATTTTCTATTTCTATTGATATCTGATGCAATACCCAGAAAAGTTTCTTTGAGGCTGAATATCCTGCTTCTTGTTGGATTTTGGGAAATTCAATTTTGATTACCCGGATAAAAAGCCATCAAGTTTTTAGCTCTCAAAGTCAATATATTTTATCAATTGGTGAGGTAAGCCCAAATTTCAATCTCTTTTATTTTTTTTTTCTTTAGTAATAGTTTTTCTGCTATTGTCCTTTTGACTGGCCCTAATTCTTAATCTTTTTTCCTTCGTCTTGATTAGATTTCACAGTTCCATCTATTTTATCGTTGACGTTAATTTGCTAATAGTTTAGTGTCAAAATTTGTTGTGGTTTGCATGTCCGTACAAGGGAACATAAAAGGTCGCGATCTTTTCTTCAGTAGGGTTTTACATTTTTGGCATTGAATTTTAGCTTCTGGGTTTTAGGTATTATGTGAATTAGGGATTGGTTTCTTTGTTAACCCACTTTTACCCTTGTTTCAAATTCAGTTAATTTTAGTACAGATTGATTTCCCGTAGCTTCTTTACTAAAAAGTTTCTTCTCGCTGTTGGAATTTACTGGGGGAAATTTGATTCTTTTTACTCTTCAGTTTAATGTCAGTTACAGCTCTATTGGTTGCTGAAAAATGGAAGTAACAAATTTCATATTATCTCTTTCCTTGGCGCAGTTTTCCAGCTGTTTATTTGTTCATTCATTTTCTATTTTCCTTAATTTTTTGGGCCGGGATAATTTTGAATATTATGAATATTCATATACTGTTGCTATGCACTTGAACATGTTTTTTATAAACACTATAGATATGTATGTAATAAGGTTTCAATTACAGTTATCGAATAATCTGAACAGGGACAAGAAGCAGACATGGCGGAGAATGCAGAAGTTGATGAGCGTGTGGATCTTGATGACAATTACATGGAGGAAGAGGATGATGATGTTGAAGAACATGTAGAGGAGGACGGAGTGGAAAGTGGCGGCGATGAAAATGGGGAACAAAATGACGAAGAGGAGTATGAGGACTCAATATCTGAGGCGGATGGAAAAGATCAATCATTGGATGTAGAAAGAAGCCACATTGAAATGGAACATGGGGAAGATGAAGAAAACCCCATGGCTTCTATTAGTGAAGAAGAAAAGGAGAAGTGGGCTCAACTTCTTGCCTTGCCTCCTAATGGCTCTGAGATTTTCATTGGAGGGCTTCCGAAGGATACCTCAGAAGAATACTTGAGGGAACTTTGTGAACCGATAGGAGAAATTGTTGAGGTCACAATTCTGTGCTTGTGATTTTGAAGCTCCTTTTTTTAGGGGTGGGGTGGGGGGTTAATTTTGGGCTTTAACCGTTAACAATAATTTATTTTGCAGATACGGTTGATTAAAGATAAGGAATCTGGTGAAAGCAAGGGTTACACATTTGTGGCATTTAAAACAAAAGAGGCTGCTGAAAAGGCTGTTGAAGAGCTGCACAGTAAAGAGTTCAGGGTATTTTTTGTGTCCCTTGTATTTGCTTTAGTTTTCTTGCTGATGCAATCTTCCCCTCCATTGCTTCTTTTGACCATGTAGTTTGATGTTCCTTTTTAATATCAACAATAATCTCTTCAGGGTAAAACTATAAGGTGTTCTTTCTCTGAAACTAAGACCAGATTATTTATCGGTAATGTTCCCAAGGACTTGACTGAGGATGAGTTCAGAAAAGCCGTTGAGAGTGCTGGTCCTGGAGTTGAAAATATAGAATTAATAAAGGTGGAATTTTGATCTAGATGATGCTCTTGGATTATGGTCAGTGAATATTTGAAAATCCATTTACCATTTTAATTTGTGAATTGCAGGACCCCCAAAATTCAAGCCGTAATCGTGGTTTTGCTTTTGTCTTGTACTATAACAATGCATGCGCTGATTATTCAAGGCAGAAAATGGCAAGTGCAAATTTTAAGCTGGATGGCAATAACCCTACTGTCACCTGGGCTGACCCGAAGAGTACACCTGAAAATTCTGCTGCTTCTCAGGTAATTGTAAGTTTGAAGTTTATTTTGAAGTGGCACATGGAGGAACCACAATTGGGATTCTTATTTTGGCTCCCCCGCCCTCTTTGTTAGCTCTTGTTTAGATCATTAATTGGTAAATGCGAATAACTGGATGTATGTAACCTTCTGTTTTAAGCATTCCGTGAAGCGAAGATCTAATCTTTATATTATGGTTCTTGTACTATGCTACATGTTTTGAATTTACTAGGTGAAAGCACTCTATGTTAAAAACATACCCGATAACACTTCCACGGAGAAACTAAAGGAAGTATTTCAGCGCCATGGGGAAGTAACAAAAGTGGTTATGCCACCTGGCAAGGCCGGTAAGCGGGATTTTGGGTTTATACATTACGCTGAAAGGTCGAGTGCTTTGAAGGCTGTCAAAGATACAGAGAAGTATGAAATAGATGGTAATTTTTCTCTTGCATTACCCCATACACTTTTTGGAAAAATAATTTAGGTTTGATTGGTCTGGCTACTGCTTAAATCATGCAAGCTGCCTTCAAATTATTTAAGGAAAAAAGCGGTTCTCTCATGTAATCTACTTTTTAGTGCCTACATGCCATTTAATTCTGCATAATGGTGTTGGATACATTTCTTCAATTTTTAGTTTATTCTGTCTTTTATGAGACGCGTTGAAGTTCCTGTCTTCATTGCTTTGTCTGTGGAACATCATGTGGACATTTTCCTCTTTAACTTTTTGAAAATCATTTTGTGTTTGATGTAAGAGCTCCACTTTTATAAGCTCTGTAACATGCTGCACCAAATGCAAGCTAGTAAATATTGGTCGAAATAATTTTGGCCTTTGGAATTAGTATCGGATCTCTTAGTTTAAACTTAGGATTGAATAGTTGAATTTTGACATTTTTCGGTGGAAACAGAAGTTTAATGATAAGTATTTTTTTTGTAAAGAGATTGATTGTCTGAGGATGAAAAATATTACTTAAATATCACAATATTTTCTTATTGTTTTGTCCGGTCGTACTTACATCTTGATTCTTTTAGAAATTACTGTGTTGCAACTGCTGTTATAACAATTTTTTGTATGCAATATATTGAGGATTCAAATGAAGATGAGAAATTAATTCATTATTGATCTAATAGAGTCGGTGTCATTGTAAGCATATTGTCTTGTGAAATATATCTGGAAATGCAACCTTCCATTGATATCAGGATTTGCTTAGAGTTGGTTTATTTAAATAAACTTATTTCATCAGGATATGCTATAATCATTTCTTTTCCCCTAAAAATATTTAGACTGACTTGAATGTAGGCCAAGTCTTGGAGGTTGTCCTTGCCAAACCTCAGGCTGATAAGAAGACCGATGCAGCATACCCTTATGGTGCCGGGCTTCATACAAACCATGTTCAGCATCCTGGGTATGGTGGTTTTACTGGAGCTACTACATATGGCTCTGCAAGTGCTGGATTTGGTGCTGCTACTAGTTTTCCGCAGGTAATCGGGTTGATTTGTATTTTCTTTTTGCTTAGATATAGTTCTCATAATGGTAAAACTAATGCATAATCATACACATTAACAGCCAGTGATATATGGAAGAGGGCCGATGCCAACAAATATGGCTATGGTACCCATGGTTCTACCAGATGGCCGAATAGGATATGTCCTGTAAGTCAGTTGCCTCGTTTTGTTAAAATTATAATATTTTTACTCCGATAACAACACATTTTCAACAACTGGTTTTGCTGTTGTTGAATTTGGGCAGCCAACAGCCTGGAGTGCAGATGCCAGCCCCACGTCCTCGAAGAGGTGATCGGAGCAATGGTCCGGGTGGAGCAGCAGGGCGAGGTGGAAATAGTGGTGGTGCTGATGGAAACCGCAGTAGAAGGTACAGACCCTATTAGTTCGTGCACTGTAGCTTTTGCTCGGAAACAGTGGACGTTGTTGGTTAATGGTTGAGTTTAACGGGGACGCCTTAACAAAAACCCAAAATCAAGGAGCATAAAGCGATATAGTAGAAAGAGTGAAAACAATGGCGGAATCGGGAAACTGGAGCACCACATAAAACATTAAAAAGGTCGTCTTTAGTAAAGGTAGTTTGAATTAATATTGTTTAGTTGTACGTCGTGGACTGTTTTATTGTTAACTTATAAAAGGCTGGCTTTTGCTTTCAAGGGCTATACCTCTACAGGCGCCAGGCCATGTTTAAGGTCGATTTTCTTGTAGGTTTCTTTGTTTCATGGATATGGTCTGATTGGATTGGTTTTGGGTTAAATCTCAACTTGAAATTTTGGCGCGGTCTCCCTCTTCTTTTGTTACTTTTACCTGCATGTCTTCTCTTTTTTTGACCCTATTAAAAAACAACAAAATTCTGCTGGTAGAAGACAAGAGCATGGCGAGTAAAACATAGATGAAAACCAATTGTTTTAATGGCTGAATTGGATGGGTCTTGCCATTTATTGCACGATTAACATACCAAAAGCTGGACCCAAGGAGTTTTATTTTATAACTGATTGAACAATAACCAAATTCTCACTACCGACACAAGAAAATCATGCAATTTGGTGACTGGACTTTCAAGTTTCAGGAATCAACTTTAATAAAAGCACCGACCCAAAGAAAACCCAAACTTTAGTAACTGACTGAAGGTAAAATCAAACACGTAAATTACAAAACGATGAAACAATGAAAAGAAGATTGAATCAAACGGTGTCTTCCTCTTGGAGCTGTTGAAGACGCTTTTCCAGTTCATCCAACTTGGGGCTCCACTCACTCTTTATCTCAAAGGGTCTAACATCACTGTAATCAATGCTATCCTTTTCTCGTTGACTGTCTGGGGACGATGTTAAACCCTTCTTCTTCCTGTTGGCTTTCTTCTTCTGGGCGGCTGCCCTCTGCAGAGCCCATAGCACGTCTGACCCACTTATCGCCTTTCCATCGTCTTGCTTGGGGTTGGAGGCGGCTGCCTGACGGCGTAAACGGCAACTGGCGGAGACGTTGATTGGAAAATCAGTGGGAGGTGGATATTTGGTTCGCATGGACAAGTAAGGTACGAGAGACGTAGTCCACATGCTCATTTTTCCCCTTCTCCTAATTCATTTAGGGGACCGGTCCCTTTTTCTTTGTGCTATTTGGGCCAATTTCATATTTCAGCCGCCTATGTTTGATCTACAATTTTTTTTTTTGTTGATAATTTCATTTTATTATCCACATAAGCAAGTTATGCTACAAAAACCAATCATCATCCACAAAAACCCTATGTACATCAAACTTACAAAACAATTGATCGGTTAGTCTATACCTAAAAATTAAAAAGAGTAATATTAACATTATCAAGTCTATTTATGATTCTTCCTCTTAGTTGAATACCTACAATCTCCTTTATAGCTTTAAGAATCTCTTCAATAGTTCTGGAGCAACCTTGAAACACCCTTCGATTTCATTCCTCCCACAAGGCATAAATATGTGCGTTCCAAGCAAGCTTCAAAATAATAATGAAAAAGAGATTTACTTTTCCAAACACCACAAGCCCAAACTAACATGTTCTCTCATGAAAATGGAGTTCTCTTCAACCCGTTAAGGAACAAAATGACCTCCCATAAAGAAGAAGCCAAGGGGCACTCTAAGAACAAGTGGTCCCTTGTTTCCAATGCATCATTGCAATTAACATAATTTCCATCAGTAGCAATCCCCATTCTTTGAAGCCGATCACTAGTAGGAAATCTGTCCAAGAGAGTCATCCAAACAATCCTACTATGTTTAGGAATGTGGAGAGGAAAGCAATTGTGCCAAGGAACTTTGTCACCCTTCACCCTTATCTCCTCCCATATTTCCCTTATCCTCTTTGGTCTACAAATTTTAATGAAACATTTTCATTTTTTTTTCCTTCTTTTTAATAAGAGGCGAGAAAATGAACTTGAATCTGAAATTTTTATTACAGAACAAATAAAAATATTTTTGTTGTAGTTTTAGGTTGAAATTATATACAAAAGTCATGATATTGATATTATGGGCGAAGTCAAAAACTTTTAGATTGAAATTGAATTATAATTCTTTATAAAAGTTAAAAAGATTTTATAATTATATTAGCTTGTAAAATTACAACTTTAAAGATTAAAACAAAATTTTATCATTTAGAATAGAGGGTTATAATACCATTTTACCATGTAGTAATATATAAAATTATAACTTTTAAAAGGGTTAATGAATAAATTTCCCATTTTAGGAACACTGGCAGACCGTTCGCATTTGATTTCTTGAAACATAAATCCATATCGGTTCATTTATATAGGGTAAATTACGTATTTAGTACTTAAAGTTTTACTTTTGGTCTATTTTAGTATCTCAACTTTTAATTTTTATAAAATTATACCTAAAGTTCGGTTTTTATTTCATTTTAGTACCTCACCGTTAAAAATTTAACGAGGGGTGATGTTGCATTTTTTAATTTTTTATATTATCTATAAATTAATCACTTTCAACTAAAATCACCACCTTATTAGAAACAAAATTAAGCATAAACTCTCAAAGGAGAGCATAGCAGGAATCTAACCTGGGTGCACAAGGGGAAGGAGAAATGGTTTACCATTTGAGCTAGCACAAACTATTGATTCTGAATGCCAAACTATATATTTAACTCATTCTAAACTATCACTATAAAATGAAAGAAATTTGTTGGATCTATGATTCTAACTTAGAATATCTAAAAAAATATTAAAGCATTTAATTACTAAATAAGATTAAGAAATAATTTAATACATATCAAAATTATTGTTTAACATATAAAAAAATTAAAATTAAAACTAAATAATTTATCATTTTAATTTAAAATAAAAAATAATTAAATAATTATCTATATATTTTATAAAATCAATATTAGTTTATTTTAAAAATTACATGTATTGTACCAAAATTATTATTTAACTTATAAAAATTTAAATTAAAATTGTTTGAATATTTTGTGAGATATTCTAAGTTGGAATCATAGATCTAACAAATTTCTTTCATTTTATAGTGGCAGTTTAGTATAGTTAAATATACAGTTAAACCATTTCTTCTTCCCTTTGTGCATCTAGGCTCAATTCTTGTTATGTGCTCTCCTTTAGGAGTTTATGCTTAATTTTGTTTCTACTCACCTCCTTATTAGTTGAAAATAATTAATTTAAAGATAATATAAATAATAATATAAAAAATTAAAAATAACTAAAAATGCAACGTCACCCCGTCCGTTAAATTTTTAACGGCGGGTACTAAATGCGTGCTTTACCCATTTATATGTTAAGGAACATCTTTAAACCTAACTAGACGTGGAAGTTTCTTTCTTTTCCACCATTATTGAAAGTTAGCCTTTTAAGATCTTACTGCCACCTGAAATGCCTTGACGAACTGTTTCAAGCATTTTCTTGAGTATCCAAACTGACTGGTGGCCTTCTTTAGCGATTTAGATAGTATTCTTCTTGGAAATTCCCGGGGATTTTCCCATAACTTTTATGATTGAAGACCAGAGGAATTCTTTAAGAGGAAAGGATAATTAGCGTGTAACAGCGCTTAAACTGTTATAACGATGCAAGAGTTCCTTGCGTATCCCCAACTCACCACCTTAACGTTTATTCCATCGCTGAGAATAGCTCTCTGGACAAATTCAAGCTCAAAGGTGGCCTTCACTATACCAGTAAGTGAATTTTTTATCCAATCGGCTTCCTCCAGAGGAAGGAATAAGTTTGGATCCTTCTTCTTGCTACCTACTTCCGTCCCACCCTCCCCCGTTGATCTTACCTCCTTATTCAATTGTTCCGATGCCAAGTTGCCTTCAATGACTTCTTTGTACGTTCTTCTATCTCTCAGACTGCCTAAAGATGAGCCACGACTTCTCCTTAACTTCCTTCCTCTATCTCCTTCCCCATGAGGGCCTCACAAAGCCTTCGTCCGCGGAACCAACTCTTCCCAACTTTTCTGGTACTTTGCTTTACTCACAGATATGCACCTTCCATCAATTTTCACCCAATCGAACCTTCTTATGACGTTGAGAAGATCCTTCTCCCCAGAGAACTGAACGAAAGCGAAAGTTGAATCCTTATACCCGGGCTTGTTATTAACCGCAGGAATGTAAACTCTAATAACCCTTACCCTCCCATGGTGATTGAAAAATTCCCGAAGGGTTCTCCTAGATATTCTCCGGCTGAGGTTGTTAACAAACGCCGTCCAAGCTAATCCTAAATTACGTGACTTTTCCTCTCCCCTAAGCATTTTTTCCAAGTAAATTTAATCAAATAATATAAATTTATTACTATAAGATACTTAGTAAATGTTCAATTTAATTCTTATTAACTCTTTAATAATTAAATGAAAACATTGAACTATTTATTCCTATTACTATAAGACACTTTAATGCAGATGTATTAAATGAGTTTATACTCATCTTATTACACTGGAAATCAAGTGAAGCATAAAGCCAACACCCACTGCTCCACCAAATCGAAAATGACTTTTGAAATATTAGTTGTATACCCTATGCTTCTACTGATGTCGTGTTGTTTGGCAAAGTTATATATATATGTGTGTGTGTGATGGTAATGTAAAAAAAATCTAATATTGGTAGGTTTTAATTTTTCATTAGCATATATGTAGTATTATTATTTATTACATAAGTCCCCACATGCATATGGTGAATTAGAGGTAGGACACCTTATACAATATACACTCGCGCCTGGTGAGGTAGGGTCTAATTTTTTTTTATCACCAACTCACTATTATTTTTTTTAAACTCCATATGTTCAAAATTTAATTTTTTTTATTAAATTAAAACGACTATAAAAAAATATTTATTTTAATTATTCTCAACTATTTAATAATAAATATTCAATCACTCTTATGTTCGCTAGTGCTTGAACTTATAAATTTTAAA